ACAATTAAAATATCAGATTCATATGGAACTAGGGATGAATAAAATTAAAAATCAATATAGAGAATATAGTATGTGGGAAAATTGGCTAATCAAATTGGAGAAACAAGAGATCGAACTGACTCTTTAGAAGGACATAATCAATAGAATGATATAGTAGATATTTCCTATTGATATTAAATAATTTGACTCACAGAGCTGTCCGTTAAGGATTTCTAAATCCTTTGCCATTTGGCTTATCCCTCCTGGAACATCAACCCTGTTGCACATTTTTGTATTATCAGCAAAGAGACATACCTTACCATCAAGACCGCTTTTATGAAGAAGTGGGTTTTTAACGATTTTTTGAAGGAGTGGAGACTGGGTGAGCATCTAACTGAGGAGGGAAGCAAGTTCCACAGGAACGGTGGAGCCCTCGAGAAATCTTGAAGGTGGGAGTACGGACAGAAGATAGACATAAGTCTTCAGAAGATCATAAGGGCCTAGATGGGACATACTTGTGTATAAGGGAGGAAAGATAGGTGGCATTATCTAGAGATTTGAAAGCAAGAATCAGAATTTAAGATGGAATTCTATATCTTATAGGAAGCCAATGTAGGGACTGACAGAAGGGTGAGGCGTGGGAGGTGTGGGCGGACAGGAAGATGAGCCTCGCCCCTGCATTCATTATGGACTGTAATGGCGCAAGATGGAATCACGTAAGATCACTGAGAATCGGATTACAGTAGTGAAAGCGAGAAGGGACAGCGGAATGGACCAACACCTTAGTCACATCTGGCGTTAAGTAGGGGCGGATGTGCGCAATGTTTTTGAGATGGAAATGACAGGATTTGGCGATCTATTGAACATGAGGCTTGAAGAAAAGGTCAGAGTCAAAAAGAACACCTAGGCAGCGAGCCTGTGTGGTGGAGCTGATGGTAGCAACGTTGACTTGGAGGGAGATAGACACAGGAGTAACAACACTTAAGGGAGGAAAGACCAGAATTTCAGTTTTGGTAACGTTTAATTTAAGGAAGTGGGCAGCCATGCAGTTAGAAATAGTAGAGAGGCAGTCTGAGACACTAGTCAAGAGGGACTGGGAGAGATCAGGAGAGGACAGGTAGATTTGCGTGTCATCTGCGTAGAAATGATATTGGAAGCCAAAGGAGCTAATGAGTTTACCACTGGAGGCAGTATAGATGGAGAACAGTAGGGGACCAAGGACTCAACCTTGGGGGACACCAACAGAGAGGAGTTGGGGAGAAGAAGCAGAGCCAGAGAAAGAAACACTGAAAGAGCGCTGGGAGAGGTAGGAGGAGCACCAGGAAAGAGCAATATCTTGTAGATCGATATTGCGGAGGATGAGAAGAAGCTGTTGATGATCAACAGTGTCAAAAGCCGTAGACAGGTCAAGGAGAATTAGGATAAAGTAGTGACCACGAGATTTTGCAGCAAGTAGATCACTGGATACTTTAGTCAGTGCCGTTTCCACAGAGTGCTTAGCGCAGAAACCAGACTGAAGCAGATCTATCAGAGAGTTGGACTCGAGGAAGTCTGTCAATCTCACATACACAATTATTTCATGGATCTGGATGCAAAAGGCAGAAGCGAGATAGGACGATTGTTGGATGGGGAGTTAGGGTCAAGATTGGGCTTCTTTAGAATTGGCGTTATAGTTGCATGTTTGAAGGGCGATGGAAATATACCAGAGGAGAGAGATTAAGACTTTTAGTGAGAGTTGGAGAAAGAGAAGACAGAGTACGGATGAGATGTGAGGGAATTGAATCTAGGGTGCAGGTGGTGGGGCGGGAGGACTGGAGCAGAGCAGAAACCTCTTCCAATGTAGCGGGTGCAAATGAACATAGAAAAGTAGAGGGAGTGAAGTTATTGTAAGGGGAAGAAGAAAGATGAGAGATCTCTTCCCTGATTTTAGAGATCTTGTCAGTGAAGTGAGTTGCAAAGTCTGAGGCAGTCAAGTTAGTAGTGAGTTGCAAAGTCTGAGGCAGTCAAGTTAGTAGGTGGAGGAGGAACAACAGGGCGAACAAGAGATTTAAGTGTGTGAACTAATCGTTTTGGTTCGCGGGAGAGTGTGGTTATGGGGGTATTGAAGTAATTAAATTTTGCAGAGGAAAGAGGCAAGCTGTATGAACTCAGCATAAATTTATAGTGGAGAAAGTCAGATGCACAGTGAGCGTTCAGCAGTTCTGGAGTATTTTTGGAGGTGTCGAGTGAGCTTGGTGAGCCTGGGTTGTTGTTGGGGGCGCCTGCGGTATTTAAATGGAAAAGTTGCCAAGATGTCTAGTTGAGAGGAGAGGGTGGAATTGTAGAAGGAGGTTGCAGAACTAGGACAGGTGAGGCTTGAGATAGGTAAAAGGAGAGTTTGGAGATTAGTAAATAAATGTTCTAGGTCAAGACATTGGAGGTTTCTGTGAGAGTGATGTTCAGATGGTGGTGTCAATTGGGTCTTAGGTATGCCAATGTCAAAAGTCAGCAGATGGTGGCAGATAGAGGAACAGGAATATTAGAGAGATTAGAGGCAGTAAAGAGGTTGGTAAAGGCGAGATCAAGAGTGTTTCCCGCTGTATGGGTTGCTAAATTGGAAAACTGCGTAAGGCCAAAGAAGGAGATTACAGAGAGCAGATGAGAGGCATCAGTGCAATTGGGGTTGTTGATTGGGATATTGAAATCCCCAAGTATAAGGGAAGGAGTGCTATATGAGAGGAAGTGGGGAAGCCAGGAAGAAAAGTGCTCAATGAATAGTCTAGTATAACCAGGGGGGCGGTAGATGATAGCAATTCTTAAAGGAGTGGGTTTAAATAGGCGGACAATGTGAACTACGCTGCCTCCTTTACAGTTGAGTCTGGGAGTGTGAGAGAATTGTAGCCCACCAAAACATAAAGAGGCAGGAATAGCGCTATCAGAGGGGGACAGCCAGGTCTTTGTAAGTGCAAGCAGTGTGAGTGAGTTTGAGATGAAAAAGTTGTGTATGGTTGTTGATTTTAAATTACTGCAGATGGAGCGGGTATTCCAGAGTGCACACTGAATTTTGGTAAGTGAGGGTAAAGGGCATGGTATTGTGATGAGGTTTGTGAGGTTTCTGGTTGTCTTAGTGTGTGTAGAGAAGGTGAAGGGGCCTGGATTGGGAGAGACATCACCAGCTGCTAGAAGCAGGAGTAGAGAAAGTGACAGGAGGTGTGTGTGGGTTTTATTAAAGAGAATGGGTCCAAGTACAGATCCCTGAGGTACCCCACTGGTAACTAGACCTTGCTTTGAATATACTCCGTTGACTACAACCCTCTGTTGCCTGTCATTTAGCCACTGTCTAACCCATTTAACAATATTGTAATCCAAACTTAAAGATTGCAGTTTATTGATGAGCCTTCTGCGTGGAACAGTGTCAAAAGCCTTACTGAAATCTAGGTAAGCAATGTCTACTGCACCACCCTGATCTATTATTTTAGTTACATAATCAAAAAAATCAATTAGATTAGTTTGGCATGATCTCCCTGAAGTAAACCGATGTTGTCTCTGATCTTGAGATCCATGTGATTTTAGATGTTCAACAATCCTATGCTTTAACATGGTTTCCATTACTTTCCCCACTACTGAAGTAAGGCTTACTGGCCTATAGTTGCCCGACTCCTCCCTTCTACCTTTCTTGTGAATAGGTACAACATTCGCTAACTTCCAATCTTCTGGGACTACTCCTGTTAACAATGATTGGTTAAATAAATCCGTTAATGGTTTTGATAGTACACCACTAAGCTCTTTTAATAGGTCCCATTGACTTATTTGTCTTTACTTTTGACAGTTGAAATAGAACCTCTTCCTCTGTAAACTCACGTGTAATAAATGACTCATTTATCCTTTTTCTCAACTGAGGTCCCTTTCCTTCATTTTCATCTGTAAATACAGAACACAAATATTCATTGAGGCTGTCAGCTAGACCTTTATCCTCTTCTACATACCTTCCTTCTTTTGTTTTTAATCTAACTAATCCTTGTTTTACTTTTCTTTTCTCATTTATGTATCTAAAAAATGTTTTACCCCCCTTTTTACTGACTGTGCTATTTTCTCTTCTGTGTGTGATTTGGAAGCTCTTATAACTTGCTTAGGCTCTTTCTGCCTATGTCACAATTCGGAGAACCCAACACGCTGGCACACACACACACACACAGAAAAGGTGCCGTACCGGACCTTAGAGTGGCCGGGCTAAGCACACACAGAATAGTCAGGAGACAAGCCGAGTAAGGGGAACCAGAAGACAGAATAACGTGAAACGAGCCAAGGTCAAAGGGTAGGAGAAAGTCACAGAGTCAGATAAACAAGCCAGAGAGTACGTAACCAGAAACACAAGGTAAGTAGCAATACTAGTAAGCAAAGACCACAACAGGGCAGGGAGGAACAGGAAAGGTAAGTATTTAAACCATAAGGTTAATTCTGATTGGATAATTTCCAATCAGAATTAACAATCACACGTGGGAGATATCTAAACCTCCCACTGTGATTGAGGCACTGTGCCTTTAACGCCGGGTCAGGTGACTGACCCCGGCGTGTAATAATTTGGGCGGTCTCCCAGCGTGCAGCGTCATGTATGCTGCCGCTGGGGGACGTGGAGGAAACGGCGGGCAGCATCCGAGGCTGGAAGGATGCCGCTCGCCGAGCCCACGAGGAGGAGGGGACCGCGGACGGCTGGAGGGTGAGTACCACGAGCGGAGTGCAGCCTCCTCTCGCAGCCGCCCGCGGGATCCCAACAGCCTAATCTTATAGATCATTTTGTCTTCCTCACTCTGGGTTTTTTATAAAAAAAAAAAAACCAGAGTGAGGAAGACAAAATGATCTATAAGATTAGGCAGAAAGAGGCTAAGCAAGTTATAAGAGCTTCCAAATCACACACAGAAGAGAAAATAGCACAGTCAGTAAAAAAAGGGGGATCGTAGCGTTATTCCACATACCCCATTCTGTGAGCATACAGATGCCTTCCACTGGGTTATTTGCAACGTGCGTTTTTCCTTGTCTCCAAATTATTGCTTGATTGGGTAGCCCCATTTGTATGTTACGTTAGTGGCGCGAAGGGTGGCCGTTTCATTAGCAAATTCTTTGCGTCTAGTCATTGTGGCCGCTGATAAGTCGGCGTATAAGGATATGCGCTGGTGAGGTTCCGGAATTGTGGCGGTCTTCCTAGCTGCTGCCATTAGTGCTTCTTTGTGAACATAATAATGACATTTTACAATTATGTCTCTCGGAGTCTCGTTCGTGAAGCGTTCTGGTCTTGGCAGTCTGTGCATGTGGTCGAACGCCCATGCTGAATCTGGCAGGCTTGGAACTAAGGTTTTACATAAAGAGTACATAGGCCGGGAGGGCATCAAGGGACACATAATTTCCTGCGTATACGGACATTCTGTCTCCTGGATCTGTCCTCCATGTCCACCATTTTAAGTTTAGGGGATTCAGTTTCCTCGGCCAGCTTCTGCACTTTATCCACTACTTCATTGTGTGCAGTGTTTAGTTCATCAGTCCTGTTCTCCAGGTGACTTGTCCTGTTACCCCGGTTTGAGATTTATTTTCGTATTTCGGCGTCTATGCGGTGGAAGTCTGCTGTTAATGAAGCCCTCTATTCCTGCAGCATGTTGTGTAGGCTTCGGTCTGTAACCAAGGAGTCCAGGTATTTAAATGAAACAGACTTGTGGTCGTTTTGGCCATCTGATTATGGAGGTCTGATCGTTGCCGTCTTGAAATTCCTTGCAGCTTTCTTTTTTCTTCTTATTTATCGTTTCTGACATTTTTAGCTGTTTGGAGGGCGACATACTGTTTCCCAATGTTGAGATATGCCTTGTTTTGTTTTGTCCCCTTTTTTAATGGTAGCTGTAAGAATATTAAATAGTTAACTTGTTCATATGTATTTTATGCTTTTATAAGGTTTATAAATATTATTGCTGACTGAAAGGATATGAAATAGTTAAACTCAATGTACGACATAATATGCTGACTGTGACAGACTAAGGTATTTCTTCTATAGGATGTAAGACAATGCTATATTTCAGGATGTCTTGCCCATTCCGATACTTTTCTCCAGACGTATGCAAAAGCTTATCTTTCCATTGTCAGAATAACATGTAATATAAGGAAGTAATAAATCTTATAGTCTGTACTGTAATGAATGGCATATACCATGGCTAATGTAAGCAAACTATGTATAAAAGCCAGCTCTGGAATACACTCATTTGAGAGTCTTGTCAAGCTGTTGTCCGTGTCTTATTGCTGACAATGATTCTCCATCAACATTGATTATGGTGACCGAGGGATCGAGAACCGAGGGGATTAGAGTCCATTACAACATTAACCCTTTCAGCTTGGTGTCTAGAAGTGGGATAGAAGTTGGATCAGCAAAACCATTTGCGGTGAGTAGCCTTTTTGTGTCTTATTTGACGCTGATTGTCTATGACCCCCTTTGGTTCAGTAAGTCTGTATCCAGTAGATAGGAAAGGTGTAAGGACTCTAGTTATATTGAGACCATGAGAGGTCTCCGGTTTATATTGAGACTATAAGAGGTCTCCGGTTTATTAGACATTTGGTCTAAATATATAGGGTTTTGGTAACCCAGGTTAGTATCTAAGATAGATACAGGTTTTTGAGACCATAAGAGGTCTCCGGTTTATTATAGGGTTTTGGTAACCCAGGTTAGTATCTAAGATAGATACAGGGTATCTCAGGTAGATACAGGTTTTGAGACCATAAGAGGTCTCCGGTTTATTAAGATTATAGGTGTTCTGAGGAGCACGGTTTAAAGATCTATAAGTATACCCCAAACTTCTCTTTCTCCCGGTCACCTTTGTTTGTCTTAAGTGTTCTTTGTGGGTGATTGTTTGTCTATATTGGGGACACACTTTGGTAAGTTAGTAGTGTCCCCACTCTGAGTCAGCAGTATGGGAAATGTGAGTTCAGGTCCTGAGTGACCAATATATGTATGTATATGTGTGTGTATATGTATATATGTGTATATGTATGTATATGTGTGTGTATATGTATATGTGTATATATAAGATAGCAGTACTTTTAAACAAATGGAGGTTTTAAAAATACATAGGGATTAAGGAGAGAACGCAGGTAACTTGTTTTTCTTTGGTTTTCACCATATATTGGGGCTGATGTGTACTGTAGTCCTTGCTGCTGCCCAGTAGTGATGGGAGTGAGCGCAGGACTTATCTTTCTGCAAGATAGCAGTACTGTATATTAGAAAAGAAATGACTCACAGGTTGTACCTGATAAACCTACTTAAATCTTTTTGCTTTATTCTTTCTGTCGCATAGAAGTATAAGTTTATTACTCTGTTTTATTGTAAGTTATTTCACATGGGACCTGTGTGCCTGGTATGATTGTTGCTTTAAAGATACCATAAGCCCACTACACTTTCTATGAGAGTGGGATAGTGTAAATGTGTTACATTGTTTGCATGATGAGCTCAGTATATTTTATAACTGAGACAAAAAGTCACTTCATTAGTATTTGAAAGTTAATTCCCCATATGGGATTAATTGTATAGAAACACCAATCAGCACATCTTCCCTGCCCTGTGTGTTTGTTGCAAAGGATCCATACTAAATATGATTTATGTTTGAAAATAACAAAGCAACATTTACATTTTCAGCGGTCCAACACATGCTTTATTTTGCACTGTAAACTAACCTTTTTATTGCAACAGATTCCTTTTAAATGATCCAGTGTAATAACTACTGCTTGTGTCTTCTATGTCTCACATTATGTGTTCTTTTAAATTGTGGTATATAGCCTGAATCAGACATCATGGACAAAGGTTTTTACCTGTGTTACTAAGGGCTCTTGGAGACTGACCGGTCTAAAGGTTTGCCATGCCTTAGAACATGGTATAGTATAAATTTTTTTAAGTCTCTGAGAGTTCTGAAAGATTCTGGTGAAACCATGTCTGTGTAATCAGGTCCAAATGTTTGCTCAATTTCTATAAGATTTAAGTCATGCAGCATCATCTCAGATTAGTTAATGGAAGTTTCAGACAAATAGTTGAGTTATGAGCGCGCTATATAAATGAATCCTTTCTTTAAATACAATACTATAGTAGATTAAAGTAATGAAGTTAATTAAGAAAATGTATACATAAGAATCCCTAAAATAAATCTAAACTAAAATTGGTATACTTTCCAATAATATGTTCTGAATACAGCTGTTAACTGTTTATTTTGTGTAAATGGTGATTGTGATAATGTGTGATAAGTGTGCAGTTTAACTTGAAAGTGGTTTAATTTATATGTACCTGTATTGTTTTAAATTATATGTGAATCAGTTTGTTTCAGTCTAGTGATACTGATAAGAATGACAGCCAAATAACCTAGCAAATAACTGTTTTATTAGTTGTTGAATACTAGCGTTTTGGCCAAGAATAGTTCGAGATTTGGAGGTGTTAGTTTAAGATTGCTTTTATATTGTGTCTATCTGTGTTTCCTAGGAGGGAGACAGAGTGTGTAGTTGTGTGCCCATAAATGTGATTTCTGTATTGGCATATCTGCTGGGTACCCATTATGTGTTTCTACAAAGATATTGCTTTGTGAGATGACGTGTAATATTACATTGGATGCTGAGTATGAGTTATATGGTTTGAAATGAATTGGTGATTATGAGCTTAGTACTTCAGTAAGATGTGCTAAAATTTGGAACAAGGTGGAAGCTGAAATGTTGGGATTATGGAAGAATAAGCAGTCTATATTCACTGCTTTGGCATATAAGCAGGATGCAAAGGAAGAGATTGGTAATATGATTTTTGTAAATAAATTTTACAAGTGTTGGAAGGATGAGGCAGGTTTGATGTCTGGAGATGATATAGATCTCTTTAAAATACAGTCATGCCTTGGTAATATGTTGCCACAGTATTCTTTGCTTGTGAAACAATTGATCAGACTGGGCCAATTTGGATAGCTCAGATTTTCTTACCAAGGTTATAGAAAAGGAAAATGCAGGTTGTTTTGAATTAAGAAAAGATTTAGGAAAGTAAGGTTGCTTATTATGCTCAGGGATTGTAACATTGGCCACCTACACAGGCTGAGAGCGAGGATGGGATGGAGCACATAAAGCCCGTGGAAGGGGTGGTCAAAGAGGGGCAAGGGGATGGAGACAGGGAAATCAGGGTTATAGGGGCAGGGGTAACCAAGGAGGAATAGACAGGAACACTTGTTTCAACTGTGGCCAATATGGCCACTGGAGGAATGAGTGTCCACACCCCAGGAAACCCCAGGAAACCCCACACACACCCCAACAACCCCACCTTTCTCAAAATATGCCCGGTAGGCAAGAACAACACCAGACCCACTCCCAACACCACTGGCCAGCATATCGCTTAGTTCAGGACTTTAGAGCCCTGAATAGTTTAATTGTGCCCATTTCACCCATTGTCCCTGATATGACATCCCTCATTACAGCCATTCCACATGATGCCACTTGCTTCACTGTCATTGATTTAAGTAATGCATTTTTTTCTATACCTATTGATCAAGAGACACAGCTACTTATGGTTTTTACTTTTTTTTTTTGAATATTTAATCTTTATTTTAAATTTTTTTTTCTTTTAAATCTCATTAAATACATATGTCATACAAATACAAATATCATACAAATATACATTTATAATACAAAAAAAAACAAAAAAAAACAACACAGCAGCAAAATAGGGGAGGGAGAAGAAAAATACATCAAAAAGACTTCCATAGTAGAGTGGTAATATCATTTAGATAAGTCTCATAATTATTTACAATGTTCATGGAATTATTCTACTACTAAATGAGCGACATTATTTTATACATCAATCATCTCAATACACTTTGACCAAACAGAAATCTTATTGCTTAATCTTTGTTTACTTAGCATCAGCTCCATTCTAATCTGAAACTCGAGTTGAATTTTAACTTTCTTCCAGGGGACTTCTGAATCCCTTTTCCACCATCTCGCAATTACTATTTTAGCCGCTAAAAACAGATGTATAAGAATTGCCTTTAATTCATATGTCATATGAGGCCAATTTAGATGAAGTAGAACTACCTCTGGAGAGATTATCAACTCGAGTTTTAGATTATTAGATATAAAATGCTGCATTTTCAACCAAAGATTTTTTAATTTATAACAATCCCACCAAATATGTCTAAAATTGCCTCTAATACTGTTGCATCTCCAACAGATAGGATTTACCAGAGGGTAAATTTTATTCAATTTAGCTGGTACTAAGTACCACCTATTTAAAACTTTAAAGTGCGTTTCTAATAAATTTAATGAATGGATATTCTTCTTAACATCCATCATTGAAGA